GTGTGTGTGTGGTGTGTGTGTGTGGTGTGTGTGTGGTGTGTGGGTGTGTGGTGTGTTGTGTGTGTGTGTGTGTGTGTTGTGTGTGTGTGGGTGGTGTTGGTGTGGTGTGTGTGTGTGGTGTGGTGGTTTTGTGGTGTGTGTGTGTGGTGTGTGTGGTGGTGTGTGTGTGTGTGTGTGTGTGTGTGTGTGTGGTGGTGTGTGTGTGGTGTGTGTGTGTGTGTGGGTGTGTGTGTGTGTGTGTGTGGTGTGGTGGTGTGTGTGGTGTGTGTGGTGTGTGTGTGTGGTGTGTGGTGTGTGTGGTGTGTGTGGTGTGTGTGGGTTGTGGTGTGTGTGTGGTGTGTGTGTGGTGTGTGTTCAATAGGCATTCCTGTTCTCCTGTGCCTTGTCATACCTATTCTTCCAACTGTTTAAGGCAGCTGCAGCGATCATTTCCTCATTTAACTCATTCCCTACCTCCATTTCTAAGTATTCGGTTTCCATCTATATCCCATTTCACCGGGTCCTAGCATTTCAAACTGTGTTTTATGCGCCCTTTCCATTCACTGGAGAATCCTATACGTCTTAACTGTATCTTACCAACGGTCCTCTGCTTTTACTCTTCTCATAGTGCATTCCTGTAAGATCAGGGACCAGTCTCGTTGCAAAATTCTGCATTACTTTTATCTTTAATCAAAGCTTATTAGGTGGGATTCCAGGGCGATGCTGCATGCGTGTCTTCTCACAACTGGTCAACCCATCTGGGATCAACTGAGAGGTTTAGTGAGAAAGTTTTTTTCAGTGAGCTGTGACGTTGGAGGCCTGGGTCTGGCTGGCCGGCTGAAGAAAGGAGAGGAAGCTGATTGTTAGCTTAATAGTTGTTCCAATGGTTACAACGAGTTCACAAAGTCAGTGCCCGATGAGCCGGTCTGTGGTTCGTGCATTAGAATGCGCGCGGCCAGGAGTAACAGCTTGGTTGATCATTTTTAATGCATCGGGAGGCATGGTCGGGGGCCGGGCCACGGGGGCGTTGACCCTCTGAAGCTACCTCTAAGTTTAAGTTTTATGAAACGATTAACCAGGCTGTGATAACTATGTGGGTCAGCAGAATGCCAATAGTAAGAACCCGGTTGAAGAGGCACTCAACTAGGAAGCTCACTGGTATATGACAGGTCACAGACTGATTAAGGCCCGAGTTCTTCGAGATGCGACGTAAGAAGTTGAGAACATGAACAGGACTCCAAGTAAAATCAGTCAGATTAACATGCAATATTAATTTGAAAGAAAACGTTAAGTTACGTAACGTGTTTAGCTACAAGTGGATGAAGTCTCCACCACTCAGTGCTGAACGACCCATGCGGGCTTAGCGCACCACACAAGCACTAAGGAACATCAGCAAGGTGAGAAAAATACACCACACACACACACACACACACACACACACACACACACACACACACACACACACACACACAGTAATGAAGGAACCGTAATTATTCCACTAGCAAGATTGTTTTTTCGAAGCCGTTATTGCTTTCTGCAGACTTACACATGTAATGTGGCCGTCACCATGACACTTGCAGCGGAAAATAATGAACATAATGTGCTAGGATGTGTGGAGAAAGATATGTGGGGGGGGGGAAGTTGTACCTGGACATTATACTCTTGACAAAGTGCCAAGGATCAAGGACCGAGAATCCAAATTTTAGCTGGAGGGAGCAAAATATTATTGAGCAGCACCACTCATTCCCTGAGTGACAGCAATAAATGCCAACCCGAATAGTTGATACACCGCTGGAGGGATTGGTCCCAAACTTGAACACTCACATCACTCCGTATGACAACTACAGAACTGGCAGACGGTGCAAAATTCCTACACAAAAAATCATAGGAGCAACGAGTATACTGAGAGAGAGAACTCGACGTGTCAAAAGTCCTTAACTCTTCAACGCCCTCCCTCCGTGGCAGCGAACTCAGCTCATATTATATGTCCGTGGCTCGATCCCCAGCATGTGTGGAAATGCTGGGTATATTTCCTTACACCTATTGCCCCTGTTCACCTGGCAGTAAGCAAGAACTTGGGCGTTAGTCGACTGTTACGGGTTGCAGCCTAGGATGGTGGTAGTATAACTTAGATAGGGTTGGGTTTCGATATGATCTGAGACAGGATAGGTAACAGCTCTTAACCTGTAAAACTGAAGAGGAAAAAAAATACCGGCTGTCTTCAAGAGGAAAGGGGACAAGTTCCTCAAATTAGTGCCTGACCAGCTGGGTTGTGGTTCGTACCTTGAACTGTGTGTGGCCAACAGCAACAGTCGGTGATCCAGCAGGAGGCCTGGTCTAGAACCGGGCCCCGGGCCGTAGTGAACAGCTCTGTTCCACAAGGCACAGTACTCGCCCCCATCTCATTCCTCATCCTCATATCAGACATAAACAGAGATATACACCACAGCGCCGTATCATCCTTTGCGGATGATACTAGGATCTGCATGAGGCTGTCATCTGCTGAGGACACGGTTAACCTCCAAGAAGATATAAACAAAGTTTTCCAGTGGGCAACGGAAAACAATATGATGTTCAATGAGGACAAATTCCAACTACTCCGTTATGGAAAACTGGAGGAGATAATAACTAGAACAGAGTATACTACAAACTCTGGCCATACAATAGAGCGGTAAAATAATGTAAGGGACCCGGGAGTAGTAATGTCTGAGGATCTCACTTTCAAGGATCACAACAGTGCCACGATCACAAGTGCAAAGAAAATGATAGGATGGATAATGAAAACGTTCAAAACGAGAGATGCCAAGCCAATGATGATCCTTTTCAAATCACTTGTTCTCTCTAGGCTGGAATACTGCTGTACATTAACATCTCCATTCAAAGCAGGTGAAATTGCAGATCTAGAGAGTGTACAGAGATCCTTTACTGCACGTATAAGTTCTGTCAAGCACCTTAACTACTGGGAACGCTTGGAAGCACTTGACTTGTACTCGTTGGAACACAGGAGAAAGAGATGTATCATAATCTACACTTAGAAAACCCTGGAAGCAATGGTCCCGAATCTGCACACAGAAATCACTCCCTACGAAAGTAAAAGACTGGGCAGACGATGCAAAATACCCCCAATTAAAAGTAGGGGCGCCATTGGTACACTAAGAGAAAACACCATAAGTGTCCGGGGCCCAAGACTGTTCAACAGCCTCCCATCAAGCATTAGGGGAATTACCAATAAACCCCTGGCTGCCTTCAAGAGGGAGCTGGACAGATACCTAAAGTCAGTACCGGATCAGCCGGGCTGTGGCTCGTACGTTGGAACTGCGAGCGGCCAGCAGTAACAGCCTGGTTGATCAGGCCCTGATCACCGGGAGGCCTGGTCATGGACCGGGCCGCGGGGGCGTTGATCCCCGGAATAACCTCCAGGTAACCAGGGGGGTCACTGAGTTCAGCTCCATGAAGATGACTGACCACCTCGTATACTTTTTCCCCCCAAGGTTGATGGACTGATTATAACACCTTTTTTTTTTTAATTTCTACTGCTCCCTTTGTAAACACAAAGGGAGTATCAACATCCTTCAGGTATATCCAGCTTTCTGCAGACCAACTGGAGTTGACACTCAATCGGAGTTTTCAGAGGGTCAACGCCCTAACGGCCAGGTACACGTGCATGCCTCCTGATGAATCAAGACCTGATCAACCAGACTGAGAACAATAATGGGTACCAGTAAACACTGACAAGCTTACGACTACGTTTCGGTCCGACTTGGACCATTTGGACATCTCTCTCCTATGTCCGGGTTATTTGTGTATTGTTCCAGTCACGGTATTGTGCCTTTTTGTTCTTTACAGCGAAGTAACTTGAAAGTGAAAGCCAAAAATGGCCAATAACAATGCACGTAACGTGAAGTGACATGATACACAGTATGCAGGAAGTTGAGATGAGATAATATTTCTGTATCGGAAACTCGCAATGGTCATACAGCGCGCAGTGAAAGGTTGAGGTGGGAGAGGTGAAGGGAGGTGGAACAGGGGAAAGAGAAGCAGGTGAGAGAAAGAGACAGGTGTTCACCTGCCAGGTGAACAGCGGTCCTTAAACCCTCGCCCCAGGGCCTGTCCGTACTCGCTTATCCCGTGCAGTCAACGTTTACCAGGGGCCTCCCGTGCAGTAAGCTGGATTTTACTCTGTTTACTACTTGTTGAGTTACATGTTTTAAACACCTGAAAATCAGTCTAACTCTCCACCAGTGCAGGCAGCGTGTAACTCTCCACCAGTGCAGGCAGCGTGTAACTCTCCACCAGTGCAGGCAGCGTGTAACTCTCCACCAGTGCAGGCAGTGTGTAACTCTCCACCAGTGCAGGCAGCGTGTAACTCCCCACCAGTGCAGGCAGCGTGTAACTCCCCACCAGTGCAGGCAGCGTGTAACTCCCCACCAGTGCAGGCAGCGTGTAACTCCCCACCAGTGCAGGCAGCGTGTAACGCCCCACCAGTGAAGGCAGCGTGTAACTCCCCACCAGTACAGGCAGCGTGTAACTCCCCACCAGTGCAGGCAGCGTGTAACTCCCCACCAGTGCAGGCAGCGTGTAACCCCCCACCAATGTGGTGTGTGTCACAGAACTACTACGTGAACACACCCGTATTCTCCTCGTCTCTAGACCTTCCTTCAGAACAAACACGTCCTGCGCTCATGAATACAACAATTATACACTAACCTGTATTACTGTACAAGTAAAGGTATCTAACATGCCAGAAATTCTAAGCACGTACCCTGTGTGTACACACACACACACACACACACACACACACACACACACAGTACCTTTGACAAACAGTAACTAACATAAGCCATGTAATGAGTAATGACACTCATCTCACTGAAATTAGGTTATTTAATATTTAACTCTATGTTATTTAACATCTATTGCGCAATAAACATTCCGTTGTTGTATACTGAACGCAGTCACTATAATTAAAAAAAATATATAGGAAAAGAGAGAGAAACGGTGATCGTGTTGATACTACAGACCTTTTAATATTGTAGGGTGAAGGTTCAATGCCATATAAAATCCTCTCGACACTAGTTGGGCGTACTGTAACAAGATGATCATCCTCACACGTATCACTGTGGCTATTTTCTTCACTACCACTGTTACTGTCACTACCGTCACAGCTCACCAACAACACATTACTATCGCTTTCCTTATCCTCCTCCCCCTCGCTGCTACCGAGAACACCAGCCCTTTGTAGTGGTTCTTGTGGGTCGTCACAAGAGTGACTGAAGTGGTCCGTGTCTAGAAGATGCGTGTCAAGGAGGCACGTGTCGAGGAAGTGCGTGTCAAGGAGGCACTTGTCGAGGTAGTGCGTGTCTATGAGATGCGTTCCTGGGAGGGCCTCATGAGGAGGGACTGGGAGAGCATCAGGAGAAGAGGCCGGAAGGCTCTTGGGATAAAAGCCTGGGAAGGCCTTAGAAGAAGCGTCTGGGAGGTTATCATGAAGAGCGGCTGGGAGGGTTTTAGGAGCAGCTGGGAGGGTTTCAGGAGCGGCTGGGAAAGTTTCAAGAGCGGCTGGGAAGGTTTCAGGAGCGGCTGGAAGGGCTTCAGGAGAAAGGGCTGGGGTTCGAGACTCCGTAAACGCTGGCAAGTCACTGAGGGCAGACTGGAAGGACTCTGTACTGATGTGTGGGGTATTAAAGATGTGACTGGAAGTAGTGCTGCTAGTCTGGCTCCCGTCCTCAGCCAGATCCAGAGCCAGACTCACAGACATACCCTCCTCGCCAGCGTGTTTCCTTCTTTTTCCTTTATTTGTCAAGAATGACGGACATTCTTTACTTCTTGCTGAGCTTTTCTTCAGCTCATCTACGTTGTCAATACTAACAGATTTCAGCTGGTGTTTTAGGAGAGGTCCTTTGTGACGTTTCTGTGACTGGTGGTGAGTCTTGGATTTCTTTGGAACCCCCTTACTTACGGAGGTGTTTTCGTCAAGAAGGGAGTAGAAATCTTTCTTAAGCGAGAGAATCTCGTCTCTGAGATTAGTGATATCCTCACAGGAGGAGACGAAGCAGCGCTCCTCAGAGTCGAAGATGTGGTGGGTCTTCTTGCCCTTTCGGGTGAGTATCTCTGCCTTAATGGCTGTGATCTCGTTCCTCAGGCTGGTGATGTCCAGCACTGGCACGACCGGCCTCGTCACTCCTGCATCCCCGCCTTCCAGCACGGTCACCCCTGCCTCGGTCACCACCGGGTCGGTCATCCCCGCCTCCCCGCTTCCTCTCTCAGCCTGCACCAGACCAGATTGCTCACTTGATGGGTCTTGCGATAAGTTTTGATGGCTAGTGCCGGGAGAGGTGATAACCGAGGCAAGAGGCGGATGGGTGTGAGGTGAGGGAGGTGGGTAAATGGGTGGTGAGGGAGGTGGGTAAATGGGTGGTGAGGGAGGTGGGTAAATGGGTGGTGAGGGAGGTGGGTAAATGGGTGGTGGGTAAATGGGTGGTGAGGGTGAGTGAGAGAGTTGGGATTCAGTGGGTGGGAGACAAGGTGTGGACGGCGAAGGGTAAGAGGGTGGTGAGGGCGGGGTGTAAGAGGGTGGTGAAGGTGGGGGGTAAGGTGGTGGTGAGGGTGAGGGGTAAGGTGGTGAGGGTGGGGCATAAGTAGGTGGCGAGGGAGGTTGGTAAGAGGGTGGCAAGGGAGGGGGATAAGTGGGTGGCGAGGGAGGGAGTGAAGCAGGCGAGGGAGTGGGGTGAGGGGGTGGTGGCAAGGGAGAGGAGTGAGAGTGGTGTGAGAATTTCCCCGAGAAGGAACCCACTTCATCCTGGTGGAGGGGTGGGCCAGCTGGCTGCTCTCCCGCTGCCGTTGCTACTGCTGCTGCTTCCTCTTTCTTCGTACATACACTGCACTGGGCTGCTCTTGACTCCCCCTCGTGGTGCCCTGCATTACCACTGCTGACAAGTAATGTAGTGAGAGACGCGCTGCCCTCTCCGCCACCGCCGCCCTGTGACCTCTCTTGACTGAGAGCAATATCAGGTTGCAGTGTTGCTGTCTCTTGCTCCCTGCCCTCCTGATAACCCTCTGACTGCCTCACTGCCCCGTGTTCTCCCTCTCTTTCATAATGCACTGCACGGTAACAACTCTCACCGGGGATAACTTGACCACATCGTCTCTCAAGGCTGGTACAATTATCATCACCTTCAGCGAGATAAAGGTGCCCTTGGGTAACCTTGAGGGTAGCAGTAGCCTGCGGTGGCAGGGGCTCGGACCACTTGGGATGTACCTCGGGGAACTGGGACTCGTCTTGCTGTTCAACCTCATGTGTAGAGCCCCTCGTCAGATCCAGAATGGCCCTGATCACCTCCTCACTCTGCAACTGCACCTCCGGGTCCACCGGAAGGTCAGGGGGTGGCAGGGGGTCTTCCTGGCCTGTAGTAGGCGGTGTGAGCTCCCTGGGAAAACTAGCGTCAGCTGACCAGTATCGACGAGTCAAGTCCAGCACCATATTACCCCTGACTGTGAGGCTTCCGTCACTATACTCTACCTGCTGCAGGTCGTCCACCTCTGTGTCGGTGTCAGAGTTAGAGTGGTGGTCCACGTGGGCCAATGATGCCTCGATGTCGTCCTCCAAACACTGGTCGTAGTCGACGCTTCTTAGGTAGCCACCTGTTCCCAAGGGTGATGCCTCCAGGAACGCCAGTGTTGCAGGGTCCAGGTTGGTCGCTGTGTTAGGAAGGTCAGGTGGAGGGCTGTGACGTGGCTGAGGGCTGGATGACATAGAGCTGACCACAGAACTGACACTGGAGTCAGGCGGACATCCTGAGAGGAAAGTATCCAATGAGCCAAGTGATCCTAGAGAGCCCCCGCTAGCAACAGAGGAAGTGCTGTCCTGCCGCTCTAGCACCAAGGAAGCTGAGGTCTTCTTGGCATCCCGGATAGCACTCATCATCTCCTCCTGCAGCGAGGTGAAGCCTCGCACCGCCTCCAGAATGGGACTGGAGGCATCTTGCCTCGATGTTTCCTTGTGTGTGTATCCATGTGGCCCTTCCTGAGCAATCGGAACACACGAGGTGGCCATGGTTTCCTTGCAATAGGCAAGGGTGATGGGAGGTGCAATGGGGATCAGCTTGCAAGGGATCACTTGTGGGATGGATCATGGAGGCACGCGGCACACGGCGTGGTTGTGCAGCGCCTACACCAACACTGGCAGCTGTTGCTGCTGGGGTGTCTGACTGGACAGAACTGCAGTCCCGGTATTGCGGAAACAGGTGTGGCGGGATCGGGGGTGAGGGCGGCGTTCCGCAGGGGGATGCGTGTGGCCCGGACGAGTCTCTGGTGGCAGACACACTGAGCGCCTCACCAGAATCTGACTCATTTGAGTCACGCTCACTGCTGCCGCTCACTGAGGCGGCCGACACCACCTCCCTGCCGCTCAAATTCTTCCAGATTACACTAACAAGGCGCGTCAACATTACCACTCCAACGTTAAGACTCCACTGCCACACCGCCCACAGTCCCTCCACCAACCACCCGGGGACCAACCAATTCCTCCACCTTTCCCCGCTCGGGCTACACTCCTGCGCCCGATATCGTTTTCGTTCTTTACGTGTGCGGCGACGGCGTAGTTCCTGTCGCTCCCTCCGGTACTGGGGATTGTTAGGTGGCAGCTCCCGGACCAACTCACGGGCATGGTGACGGTGGTGGATCTGCGCCGGAGGCAACATGACGCCAGGACTCCACCAAGGAAGGTCGGCTGTGCCTTGCCTGCCCATACCAGCACCACGATAATTACCCTCACTCAACTCATTCCACTTGTTCCCGCACTCTACACACTAAATTCTGTTACACTACACACGTGGTATTTCATTACTTGTTGAGAGTGCTGTGAGTGGGAGGTTCGTCGTGTTGGTGTAGTGGTCATGAGTGGCAACTGGAAGTGCGGGCAGGAGTGAGGTTGGCTGTGGTGAGGTGGATAATCACTGGTGGAGAGCGCTCCTGCCACACCCGCGCCCCACTCACTACCCGACGGCACTGCCGCCTCCTCCACAAACTGCTGATGCTGGTGGCCTGGTGCTGGCGGCCCGCCCCAATCAGGTGGTGGCGGAGAGGCCTGATGGAGACTGATGGTGATCAGGCACACAGCCACCACTGGCATCGACTGGGCCACCCTGGGCACACAGCCAGACTTCCTCACCTCTCCTCCAACACTCCACCACTAACACATCATCGCCCTAACTCTCAACTCAGCTCAGCTTTATCGTGGTTGGAAGCCTGCAGGTTTTCATCCGTCAGACTGACAGGAGCGTCTGGCACCTCTGAATGGTGCTGCAGTCTTGTGAGATCAAAATAGCGTCTACTTCGTAAGTAACGTTGTAGACAAAGACGACGCAGTTGTGACAACCAGGGAGGGAGGGAGAGCAGGCAGCCACGGATGCAACACGTCGCTACATACACGTCTCCACTACACTTCAACACTATTATACAACAAAAATTTTATATTTTAACGTAACACATTTACTTATCGTGACAAAATAGTCTTACTCGTTGCTATTTCTGTTTACAGATTTGGTGTGTGTGTGTGTGTGTGTGTGTGTGTGTGTGTGTGTGTGTGTGTGTGTGTGTGTGTGTGTGTGTGTGTGTGTGTGTGTGTGTGTGTGTGTGTGTGTGTGTGTGCGCGCGCGCGCGCGCGTTTGTGGTTTCAGCAAAGTATGTGAACTGCTGCATGTTACAAGATAAGAGTTTGTGCCTTCAGTATAAAAAAAACGAGTTAGCAGCAGCACCATTACAACTGCAATAATGCTACTGACGTACGAGCCTTGCATGTGCCCCCACCAAGGCACTCGGCACGCACACTGTCACCCCCATCACGCGCTGAGTCACCCCCAGAGCACTTAACACGCGCAGTGTCACCCTAGGACACTCAGCAAGCACGCACACTGATGTAAACAGCACAATTCTACTCTACACAGCAACCATTTGTCAACGTCCATCAAACAAACGTCACGTGGTAGGTTCAACAAACTTATTGTATCTTGGTAACACTGGAGGGACAACACAATGGATGTTGCATCACAAAATACAAAGCACTGACGGTGAAAGTCATAGGTATGTGCTTCTTGCCCGTTGCAGTGTGCTGTGTGACCGTGTATGTGTTGTTACTGTAGCAGCTGAGGGAGGTAGAGAGGTGCAGGCAAACTCCGGACGTGAGGGAAGCCACAACCATAACCACCTACATCCTGCTCCCTCCTGGCTTATCCACCTGCATCCTGCTCTCTCTCCTGGCTTATCCACCTACATCCTGCTCCCTCCTGGCTTATCACTCCTAAGTCCTCAATACTACACTATCATTCACGACTCTCACTTCCCTCGCCACTGTCACTTTCCTCTCCAATGCCACTTCCCTAGCCACTACGCATAATGGTGGGGTCACAAGTCACTCCAACGGACAGTGTCTTGGTCGACTTGCCTCTTCTAACCTAAACACTTGCGGGAAGTATTTGATGAACATTAATGAATGGAGTGGGTGGTGTATGCTCCCCCTCACAAACACTACTGTCCTGCAACTGAGAGATATTGCAACAGCCGCCGGGCACCCACCTACACGAGGAGGAGGAGGGGGAGCAGTTGCACCAGTATCTAATCCTCATCTCAACTCAATAGTGGTCCCCACTCCTCCCCCTCGCTACAGCTTCAACTGCCACGACCCTGTTGCTACACGCAGTCTGCACGTGGCACTGTACTGTCACTCACGAGAAATTGCTCAGCTAGAAAATTTACAAAAATCTTCATCGTTCGTACAAACTCAGTCGAACACCTGGAGGTTACCTGGAGGTTATTCCGGGGATCAACGCCCCCGCGGCCCGGTCCATGACCAGGCCTCCCGATGGATCAGGGCCTGATCAACTAGGCTGTTACTGCTGGCCGCACGCAGTCCGACGTACGAGCCACAGCCCGGCTGATCCGGCACTGACTTTAGGTATCTGTCCAGCTCTCTTGAAGGCAGCCAGGGGTTTATTGGCAATTCCCCTAATGCTTGATGGGAGGCTGTTGAACAGTTTTGGGCCCCGGACACTTATGGTGTTTTCTCCTAGTGAACCAATGGCGCCCCTACTTTTTATTGGCGGCATTTTGCATCGCCTGCCCAGTCTTTTACTTTCGTAGGGAGTGATTTCTGTGTGCAGATTTGGGACCATTCCTTCCAAGATTTTCCAAGTGTAGATTATGATATATCTCTCCCTCCTGCGTTCCAACGAGTACAAGTCAAGTGCTTCCAAGCGTTCCCAGTAGTTAAGGTGCTTGACAGAACTTATACGTGCAGTAAAGGATCTCTGTACACTCTCTAGATCTGCGATTTCACCTGCTTTGAATGGAGATGTTAATGTACAGCAGTATTCCAGCCTAGAGAGAACAAGTGATTTGAAAAGGATCATCATGGGCTTGGCATCTCTCGTTTTGAAAGTTCTCATTATCCATCCTATCATTTTTCTTTGCACGTGCGATCGTGGCACTGTTGTGATCCTTGAAAGTGAGATCCTCAGACATTACTACTCCCAGGTCCCTTACATTATTTTTCTGCTCTATTGTATGGCCGGAGTCAGTAGTATACTCTGTTCTAGTTATTATCTCCTCCAGTTTTCCATAACGGAGTAGTTGGAATTTGTCCTCATTGAACATCATATTGTTTACCGTTGCCCACTGGAAAACTTTGTTTATATCTTCTTGGAGGTTAACCGCGTCCTCAGCAGATGACAGCCTCATGCAGATCCTAGTATCATCCGCAAAGGATGATACGGTGCTGTGGTGTATATCTCTGTCTATATCTGATATGAGGATAAGGAATAAAATGGGGGCGAGTACTGTGCCTTGTGGAACAGAGCTCTTCACTATGGCAGCCTCCGATTTAACTCTGTTGACCACTACTCTTTGTGCTCGATTTGTTGGGAAGTTGAAGATCCATCTCCCCACTTTCCCAGTTATTCCTTTAGCACGTATTTTATGGGCTATTACGCCATGATCGCATTTGTCAAATGCTTTTGCAAAGTCTGTGTATATTACATCTGCATTCTGATTTTCTTCCAGTGCATCCAAGGCCATCTCATAGTGATCCAGTAGTTGTGAGAGGCAGGAGCGACCTGCCCTGAACCCATGTTGCCCTGGATTGTGCAGATTTTGGGAATCCAGGTGATTTACAATCCTGCTTCTTAGCACTCTTTCAAAGATTTTTATGATGTGGGACGTCAGAGCTATTGGTCTATAGTTCTTAGCTAATGCTTTGCTGCCACCTTTATGGAGTGGGGCTATATCCTTGTTTTAAGTGACTTGGAATTTCACCAATGTCCAAGCTCCTCCTCCATAGTGTACTTAGGGCACGCGAGAGGGGTTTCTTGCAGTTCTTAATGAAAACAGAGTTCCACGAGTCTGGGCCCGGGGCTGAATGCATAGGCATGTTGTCAATGGCTTTTTCGAAATCTATCGGAATTAGGGTAATGTCGGAAATCTGGCATACATTTATGGAGTTTTGAGGCTCATTCATGAAGAAATCATTTGGGTCGTCGATCCTCAGACCGATTAGTGGTTCACTAAACACAGTCGTACTGGGATTTCAATATTTCACTCATTTCCTTGTTGTCATCTGTGTATATTATTTGGAATGGACCTTTTGAGTCAGTCTTGGAAAGGGGGAAATGACATTCTGACATATGGTGACAAGGGTGAACGAAAAAAAAAAAGCTGAGAACCACTGTCCTAGACTGTAGGACAGATACATCATAACCTACACCTGGAAGATACTGGAGGAATTAGTCCCAAACCCGTACACCGAAATTACTACTAATGTACAGAAAAGGCTTGGTGTCAAGTGGGTTTTCGATACGTGGATGGGGTAAGAATACTCACGTAGGCTGGTAGTACGTATAATATACGGCAAGGTGATGGGAAGCACCAACATCCGACTGTCTCTCTATGACTAATTACGACTGACCCATAGTGCCTACGGGTGAGGGTGTTTGAAATCCTGCTATGGTCAGCAGCAATATGAATACAGTCAATGATTCACACAGACGGTTGGTAGTGAGTCATCTACTGGTACACTGGTTACTGGTAACTGGTTACTAGGAACTGGTACTACTACTGAGATTGGCAGACGGTGTAGGATACCTCCAATGATATACCTTTGAAGAGTTTCGAGAGTTTAACTACTCTCAAAGCCCGGCCATGGGCCAGGCTCGTCCGGTGCTTGCCTAATCAACCAGACTGTTGCTGCTGGTAGCATGCTGCCCCCACATATCCACCACAGCCTGGCTGATCTGGCACCTGGTTAAGATACTTGTCTAGTTTCCTCTTGTTTCAGCCGTGTTTCTGATATCATCTGGTAAGATGTTGAATAGTTTGGGACCCCGAATGTTGATACAGTGTTCCCTTATTGTCCCCACCGCACCCCTGCTCCTCACTGGGTTTATTTTACACTTCCTCCCATATCTTTCACTCCAGTACGTTATGGCAGATTTGGGACCAGGCCCTCGAGTACTTTCCAGGTGTATATTATCATGTATCTCTCTTTCCTCCGTTCCAATGAGTTCATGTTCAAGACTTTAAGGCGTTCGCAGTAATTTAGGTGCTTTACTGGCTCAGTGCGAGCCGTACATGATCTCTGTATTTGTTCCAGCTCTTATTCTGTACCATCTCCTAGGCTCTCTCTCTATATCTGATCTTCTGGGTATCCTCAAAGGTACGTGCTTCATACATACTTTGTATGCTTCTGTATTCAGTTTCTCTAGGCACTGGTGGGGATTTAGGGTGCTCATGTCTGATTCCCAGGATATGACTGGTAACTCTTGGTTTATTTTCTCCCAGTCAATTCTATTGCTGTTAAAACTAAACTTACTGAACATTCCGTCTCTAACATTAGTGACGCAATTCCCTAACCCAGAGTTAGTACTCGTTTGAACTTCTATGATGTTGTGATCAGAATATATTGTTTTGTAACGTATGTCTCTGGTTAGCTCCTCGTTGTTTGTAAATATCAAATACAGGGTATTTTAATTTCTAGTGAGATCAATTATCTGTTGGTTCAATGAATACTTTTCACAAAACCTCATTAGTTCCCTGGTATGTGCCTGTTGAGCCAGAGTGCTTCCCGGAGATATTTCTGGTATAACATTACGTTGCGCTATCTTCCATTTTACATGAGGGAGATTAAAATCTCCAAGAAGTAAAATATTTGGTGTGGGATTTTCCAGCCTATCCAGATAGCTATCTATCTTCCTTAACTGATCTGTGAACGCCTCAGCAGTTGCTGATGGTGGTTTATATATAAGGATAATTACCAAATTGCCATTTTCAAATTTAATGCCTAGAATGTCTACTACATCATTCGTAGCGTTCAGCACTTGTGTGTAACAAAGTATCTTTTACATAGATTCCTACTCCTCCCTGTGACCTATTAATTTCTATCTTTATTTCTCCGTCCAAAACATCCCTTGCGTGTGTTTCTGTAAATGCCCCAAACATGGCATTCGTTTTTGACAGGAGCCCATTGACAAAACTAACTTT